AGTAAATTCTGACAATTCCCTAACTTTCAGCATGGCTCAATGTTTGTAAATAAAAATTACGTATCTGACACTATGACCTCGATAGGAATATTCATGAACTACAACTGACAGGTATTCCCGCCCAGAAGCGCGTGTTGAAATAATTTCAACTTCCCAGTTGGTTCAAATTTGCATGAGAAAGGACACGACTATCACACATGTTTTATGGCGCGAAGTTTTAATGAGATGCAAATGATATGCAAATGAGCGCGCTTCCATAGAGTTAATTATGGCGATTTTTGCTCACTGAAAAAACGTCTACATAGAAAAAAACTAAACACAAATCAACCATTTTATTTTGACTAAAATGCACTAGTTCTTAAATTTAGTATATTTTAAAGTCAACACATGTTACCCGGAATTGTTATTTTTAGTTACGAAAACGATCAAATGACAGGTGCGTAAATACTTTCTGGCGGGTCTGTATATACATTCATTTTCTGCAATTTCAATTTTTGATAGGTAAACTGAATATGGCATGAAGTATTTGCCACATTTCACTTTTATTAACAGGTCATTGTCTAAGTGTAGTTTAGGCACGGTTACCATGGTCTGTCTATGCATTCACAAAATATTCACGGTGGGCGATTACCAGTATTCGTTAAGCAATGATCAAAGACAAAGTTTTATGATTAGATAGTCAAATTAAAAGCATTTTGAAAGGAATAGGCGTTTAGCCGAGCATGCACTTTATCGGAGTCAATATTCCAACATTGTCGCACCTAGACCCAATACCAGCCACTGCAAGAGACGAGAATTCGATGTTGAAACACCAAATTTACGCAAAAGGCTCTTCAGCCGTGGTACTGTGTGTTAGTCGACATCATCAATCATATAAACGTAAAAACTGATTGCAAGCAAACAACTCATGCAAGGACAGCATTTTGAGCCAAAGATTGACCTGTGTCACGTGGCTGACAGCCGTTGTCAGGGTATCTCACAGGATCTCGCATTATCCACTATTTCATTCATATTTCATAGGCAAGAGGGCAGTAAACTAAGGGAACTGATCATTACCACCCAGCCGGTTTCCTGTGAGTTTGACTCGGTTTACCGTACCGGTCGTTGCTTTACCGTACCGGTCATTGCTTTACCGTACTGACCGTTGCGTTACCGTACCGGCCGGTGCTTTACTGTACCGGCTGGACAATTACCGTACTGATAGGACCAATACCGACTATTTATCACCTTCGATTAATGAATGCATGGTAAACAAAGCCCCGGTAACTGATCGGCGCCCTGCCGGTAACCGTGAGTCATGCATGAATTAATTGGGCATTTTGCAAACAATAAGAATTTTTTTTTACCCATTGAAAGTGAATAATTTGAAAAGGACATGACTTGTACAACAGTGTTACGTCCCAGTCGACTAGAGGACTCGATGGTTTAATTATTTGTTTATATTTGTCAGTAGCTCACACAGTGGAAAGAAAGTCGAACAACCATCGAAATACAAATAAATTAAATAAAAAAGTCTTTCTGAAATTCTTCGCATGTGTTTTTTTCAATGTATGTGTGTTATTCACATATTCATGATCGCCTGTAACGCTATAAAACGACAGTCCTACATCGTAGCTTACCCACGACGTTGAATAAAACGTCTCAATCTGTCACATGAATTCGATGATACTTGCATAAAGTGTCAGCGTGACTCGCTTGGACGAGCTCACATGTATTTAAATTCGGGCTTGGGCGTTCGAAAATCTGTTTTGATACTTTGTTGACAATAACACGCGCAACGCGTGCACGTAGTCCAGATAAAATTCAAGTGCGTAAAACGAAA